TGGGTCCATCACAGGCTCATTTACTCCAGCTTAACACCAGGAATTTTGAATGCTTTTCCCCCTCTGGTTTTTTGATTGAGATGGTATTAGATAAATAGTAGCTATTTTGAAGCTAGATCTTATTAAACCAACCTCTATTAAATCCATGTTACTATTAAATTAACTGGATCAGGGTCCAGTGAAGATGGTGACAAGCCATAAAGCTTCCTTAGGTCAGGATTGGGCGAAGAATCTCTCATAAGGGACAGAGATTTCATTTGTAACTTTTATTATGTTTTCATATTGAGAAAAGATAAAAACTAGATCAAATATCTTAATTATCTCAGATACTGAAAGGAAAATAAATATTTCCAGGGTAATAGACAATGGTCAATTTGAAGCTAAACAAGCAAGATTTAGAAGGTGGCAGCTTTACTCTGAGAGCATTATATTTTCCTGTACAAGACAGATGTAGAAATCCAACTGTTTGACAGTAGGGACTATGGGAAACTAGCAGGAAGCTTGAACAATAGCAGACTATTGGGTCAACTCCCAGGCATCACCCATATGTAATTATTACCAGGTGAGGTCCACCTGGGGACTTTCAGCCTTGACTTTGGTATACGATGACCACAGTCTGGAAATGACTCTGGGCAGATGAGGCATAAGTAACTTACTTGGCAGGTAATCATAAAATATATAGTGATGTAAGCACTGTGAAATACATTCAATATTTAGATGATAAAAGGGCACTATTGATCTTGAAAAAGAATCCCAAACATGAAATATATCCATTCATTCAACTCTCCTTTGGGTTGTATCAGAAAAATCTATTTGGAATAATTAGAACTCCCTTCCCAGAGAACTGTGTGAATGGCCGAATGACTGGAGATCTGAGGCCAGCAGGGTGCACTGTTGCACTGTTGCTGAGAGTACCGCCCTAGATGAGGACATAGAGGAACATACTCTACTGATTCTCACACACAGGGGGCTTCCTGAAGTGTGACTTTCTGCCTCTGTGTTCCAGAAACCAATGATCAAGGGACGTGACTTATACACATGCTTCATATTTAATAAACGAACAATCACAGCACAGAAACAAACTTGAGTAAACAAACTTGACTGAGAAAACTGAGAATAAGAGACACTCTTGGAAAAGAGTTTCAATCACAAAAAGGGGCCTTACCAATCACAGCTCTAGGGCCAGCTCTGGCATGGCTTGGATTCTTCTGTCTTCCTTCTTCACTGATCAGACCAAACACATTTTATCACGGGCACTTAAGGGATACCAGAGCCCACTTATCATTTTTCCTCCTGTTGGTGGTGGACCCAGTCAATGTCCTAACTAACTCCATTTCTTTCTCTAACTTGTTCTTTCTCTCTAAGTCATTTCTCCTTCTTAGCTTATCTAAAACTTCAGGGACACTGAAACTTGCAATCAGGTCATCCCATGAGAGGAACAAAATTACACCCTCAAGCAAAACTGACTTCCTTGGTATGAGCTGACCCAACAGAAGTAGACCTGAGATTATGATAAACCACATCCCAGATTGACCAGGACTATCTGCCTATGCCCACTTCTGTACCTGTCTGAGTTCTTCTCCTGTGAGATTTTGATAGTGTGAGTTCTTCTTCTGGGAGATTTTGATAGTGTAACTTATTTGGTTAGTTTATAAACAAGCTAGTGGAAAAGACTGAGATAGAGTGGTGAGCAATTATACTAATAAAATTTAAGAATCTACACTGAAGTAGGACTTTAGGTAAAAAAGTAAAATTTTGAAGGCAGCATAGAATGCAGTCCACCCACTACTAAAGGGAGGTGCAGCCACTTTCTACCAAGTTCTTGAATTTGGAGGAAATTATAATGCAAATTAACCAGTTTCTTCTAAGATCCCAGTTTCCTACATACCCTATATGTTATAGAACTGACTTAAAAACCTGAATCTCAGTGGCCATTTTAAATCCACAGAGTCACCTGTGATACGTGACCACTAAATAACTGAGCAGTTCTTGTGCCATTTAGCTCTAGGGTGGGGAGGAGGGGTCAGTCATCATTCGGGACCCCCTCCTGGAAATTCAGGAGCTATACTCCTTTTCCTTATGTCTAATAAAAAATTCTCCTAACCTCCTCCTTTGGTTTTGCAGCATCATTACTTGGCATATGCAGAACCATGAGCCTGGTACAGATGGTTTTACCAGCACCTCCCAGATAGTTCTTAGGTTGCTGCTGGAGCTGCTACCATCCCAGTGTGGCCACAGTGAATAAATTCCTGCCCTCCTTCAGCAATGGATTGCTGTGGTGAGTAGCTAGATGTAGTTTGTTGAGATTTCTGAACTAAATCCTCCCTAACTCAGGCTTGTGTCCTAGGACTTCGGTAGCAGTATCAGGAAAGAGGTATTTAATCCCCCCATTCCTTACAATTATCTCTCATTGTTTCCAGGAATTGTGCTGACTTCTTCTTTTACAGTACACACATGGTGTCTGAAATGTGTATATAAATATTTAAATGTAGATGAATAGGGAACAACTTCCTCAAAACAAAATCCAAAATTCCAGTCATGTAATAAACTTTCTTTCAAGGTTTAAATAAGGAAAATCTAGTCCATAATTACTTTCTTATTTTAAGAAAACCATGGCACTGGAGCCAATAAAGACTTGGAATATCATTTTTAAAAATAGTATGGGAATTATTCCATTTGCACTATTTAGGCCTGTGGTAAATATGGATGGTTATTCTAGTCTCTGGAAAGCCTGAAGAATGATTGATAAAAAGGGTGAACCCCCACTCATGTCGCCCCAATTCATTTTATACAGTGCATAAGTGATTGCTGTATTGAATTTGAAAATACCATGGCAATTTAACCACTTAGCCCTGAGCGTTTACTGCTAGAGTCACTGTACCACTTAGCCAGTGCATTGAAGTACTGACTATCCAGAGTGTCACTTAGGCAGGGGTCATTTCAACTAGTCAATTTTTGTACTGAATAAATTTGATAAAATTGTCATTTTTACACTTCCTATTATATGTTTTTTCCTATTATATTATCTCATAAAAATTAATGGAACATAGATAAATTTTGGTTACCCAAAAATACCCTGTGTTTAAATAATTGGACTGGTTAAGTGGTCAGTTCATAAACAATTCATAAACAAATTCATGAACAGAGAGAAAATATTTCTCAGCATGTTAACAAACATAAGTATGTTTGGTCTTTAAATTCTAGGGTGGATTCTGGCTGCAAAGAGAACCACTATGAGGGCTGTGTGGGCTAATGGACATGAACTTGGGAACTTGGGAGAACAGGAATAAGAAGCTCTGAACCATGTATCAGACACTACATTAAGGGACAGAGATTCTCAGGCCCCTCTGGGCTTCTGGCAGTGTGTAAAAGAGGTGGAGTCATGGGACTCACTTCAAGGGTCTCATTGCATTGTATCCCATGGGGTCAGCCTGCATCAGCATTATCCTTCAGGGATAAAATACACAATCAAAAGAAAGCTGTTACCTAAGTCAAGCAGTATCACCTCCAACTGCTCTCTGCTTCTTCCTTCATTGGGAAGTGCTCCTGGTATCCTGGGATCTTCTCTCATGTCAAGCTTCCCAATCATGCTCTTCTGGCTCCATATTGTTACCTGAGATTCTCAGTGGAAATAACTCTTGTAATTCTTGGTGTCTTGAGAATGTCTCAGACATCTTTAGAAATAGCTTGGAGAGCCATTTAGAATCACAGTTACTTGCAGGTCATGATGAATATATTACAAAATAAGTGACAAATACTTGAGGCCTTTGTTTGTCCTGTTTTTAAGAATATACCTTAGTAGTTTGTTATTTGTCATTTTAAGATGTTTTATAGTGACTAACAGCAACTGATAATTAAGATTTTATTAGATATTTAACACTTTTATTTATTGCATTTCAGTTCCTCCCCTTTCTCTCAATATTACACAAATACAAATCTGTGTGTATATATTGTATCAGATACATTATTGTTCAAAACATACATTGAAATTAATATTCATGTCTAACATGAGTTGATCCCTTCCAATATACATTACTGAGAAGGAAATGAAAGCAATAAAAATTTAATGAATACATAGGAGCAATTTGTGTTTTAGTTTTCATTGTGATGAACACAGCATTTTGAAAATTCTGTTTCACAAAGGAAGTTTTTCTCCCTGACACTCTTCTAAATGCCCCCAAAAGCCTCACCCAGCATTTCTGACCCTCTTGCTCCCCAGGAGACTCATCAGTGAAAGTATGTTTTAAGATGACGAGGATGTCCACACTAACTTTGTCAGAGAAACTATTAGACTTATTTCTGATTATGATGCACTTATTTTCCTATATTGTTATTTCTGTTGCTGGGAGCTATCTTATAATTTAATGGTGATATTGTTAACTTTCTTCTAAAAATTCAGTTTCACTGAAGTTACTTAATACAATCAATGGCTTCTTAATGCAAATGGAGGTATCACCCCAAGCCTCGTGGTGCTGTTCCTTGTGGCTCCATACTAGCTCTGTGTCCCCAGTGCAGCTGCTATAGACAATTTTGGGAACTGTGACAATGGGTGACCCCTGTCCCTGGAGGTTGTAAGGGAGTCCCCAGGGACTGAGTTCTGTGGTGTCCAAATGAGCCCTCTGCTAGCGAAGGAGGGTCTTGAAATCATCTTCAAAGAGGATCGACACTCATTTCCCTGGAAAGGCATGAATCTTCACAGGGATGCGTTTGGGTTTGCTGCAAACCACATAAACACGGTTAAGAGATAAGGAGTTCACCCTTCTCATTATTCAGTCCTTAGGCTTTCCAGAGATTAAGTTGCTAACTGAGGTCCCGAAGGATGTGGGGAGCTGATCTGATGAAGGGCATCAAGCCTCATCCCTCAGTATCAGTCTCCCTGTAAATAGTGGTCTGGATGAAGTCCCAGGACCAGCCCCTTAAGAACCCTCCCAAGGGATATCAGGGTGAGCTGGGGCAGGTGTAGGGAGGAAGCTGATTTGCATGAATAATTTGCCCTTTCTAGTGGGTTTGGAGAGGCCTGAAAAGGCTCAGGGGAAACCAAACTCCAGCTGAGGAGTCTGGGGACATTCAGTCCTTGTGAGAATCCTGACCATGGCCTGGACAATAGTTCTTCTTGGAATCTTTGTTTACAGCTCAGGTCAGGGGAATGGACACCCCATAAACTCATGATCTAAGGGTGACACTTGTCTCCATAACAGTAACTGTTTGTCTTGTTGCTTTTAGGAGTAGTTTCTCAGACTGTGGTCACCCAGGAGCCATCAATGTCTGTGTCGTCAGGAGGGACAGTCACTCTCACCTGTGGCCTGAGCTCTGGGTCCGTCTCTACTGGTTACTACCCCAGCTGGTACCAGCAAAACCCGGGCCAGCCTCCATATATACTTATCTACAACACGAACAGCCGTCCCTCTGGGGTCCCTGATCGCTTTTCTGGATCCATCTCTGGGAACAAAGCTGCCCTCACCATCATGGAGGCTAAGACAGAGGATGAGGCTGATTATTACTGCTTACTGTACATGGGAAGTAGCATCACACAGTGAGCTAAACCTATGGGGAAGTGCAACAAAAACTTTTTCACGTACTCAAGACAGCTCCACACTTACAAGCAAGAGAAAAGAAGAAAGGGTGAAAAGTGTCAAGGGCATGATAGCAAAAATGAGGCTGCACAATCCCTTTCCTATCCAGTGGCTTTTGGCCAGGTCCTTCATTCTGTTTCTCCCAGGGTGAGTCTACCTCAGTGTGGCTCCTCTCCAATTGTGCTTTCTTTCTCTCCCTCTGGCTGATAATAAAGGGAGTGGGCTCTCCTCCAAAATATGTAAACCAGCAGCGAGACTCAGGGTCCATCACCTACTTTTCAGATTCTTCTTATTCAGAAAGACCAATGGATGTATCCTCTTTTATTAATTTGGTGATGGAGATCAAATTGATAATTATTTTCTCTTTGAAATGGAAGTATTACCTGGGAACTAGTCAGAAAAGCAATTCCTCATCCTACCTCCCAAATCCAAAATCTTTGTTGGTATAAAAGAATGTGTATTAACAAGGAGCACTCATGATTTTTGTGAACATTATTGTTTGGGAAGCAACTCTACTTTTATTATTGTGAAATATTCCCTGTAGGTTTGTGTTTAAAATGCAATTATGATAAAACTCCATGACTCACTCTCAAATTCTAATTAAAATCCCAAAAATATTCAAAATAGAATTTCAAAAATTTAAGGAAATCTAAGAACAATGACTTGATTTCAGACTGCAGCCAAAGTCTGTGAGGAATTTCTGCATATATGTGTTTTGAATATCTGCATTACTAGAAACCATTTCATGTATGGTTACCTTCCAGATATACCACTACTAGCCACTGATCTGATCACCCAGTGCAGGACACAAAGGTGCAGAGTGAAGGATTTATCTGGAGATTTACAGATCCTACTGCTTCCAGCACTGGGCTGAGCAGGTGAAAGAGAAACAAAACATGGAAAACTAAAAGGGAAGGGATGAGAGATGGATGGAGCGGTAAGGAGGGAAGGGAAGGGGAAAAAAAGGGAATTAAATTGTATTATGTGCATCTATCAACTCCCCAGAATGAATGTAAATATTATGCACATTAACATTTGCTAGCTAAAAACAAAGAAAACCTTGACTGTTGGAAACAGTGCTGCAGTAAATACAAGTGATGTGAAAAAAGGAAAATAGGTGAGCGGAAAATAAAAAAAGAAAATTGAGGTTGGTTGATTTTCCTATTTTAGCAATAGAAAAGGATACTATAAGGATTCCTGCTGAAGTAACACACAATTGGGAGGAAATGGAATATCATATATTACTGATATATGTACACCATTGAAATGGTATGATACTTCTATTTGCCTTTTAAAATTTCTAGTTTATATTTTGGTTGTTTACATAAATAGTGCAATTTAGAGCAAAAAATTCCTATTAATGTAGGTTGAAAATAACCCCTCCATAATGACAAAACACAAATTTTCCGGTGTTTTTGCCGTTACGAAAAAGGTAACTTACTTGTGCTGCTTGCCAGGCTCTGAAGCACAGCATCTCCTGAAAAGCTCAAGGTTTCTCTCCTTGCCTGAGGATGACATCTGCAACCTGTGACCTCCCAACAGAAGGCCAGAACAGGCTACTGTGCACAATACATTCAGGGGAAATAGACCAGAGGAACAGTAATTTCCCAGTAGCTGCTGACACACTGTCAGGCCATGTGGCTACAGAAACTGACCACTTACTGCTTCCAGCAATCTTCTTAGACAGATCCACTCTGTTTCAGCTCTAGGTATCTTGCCCTTAGCTGCAGAGTTGTTCATGGGGTCTCCCGAGTCCTGATTCTACATGTTCTTCCCCCACTAGACTGCAGCCCCCAGAAAATGGTGTCAGTGGAGGCCACACAAGAACCACACTCCCTTGTCCTTGGTAGGGATTCCTTTCATATGAGGGATATATGGGAGTACAGTAATGAAGTGAAGGTAAGTTAGAATGTTATGAAGGAAATGATTTGCTCTAAAATGAGCAGGGGGTATAATTAGACCATATCCAGTCATTTCCTCAGGTCAGAACTTACTGTTGAGCAACTGAAGTTACTGAAACACCCACAGAGTGTTCAGGTCTCCCACCCAGAAATATGGCATGTGGTTGCAAAATAAAGTTCTGCAGATGTGGAGCTCTGGGATGACCAGTGTTCTCTGTGGAGCAAAAGGTCACAAGTTCAAAAGCTCATAGTATCAATCAGGGAGGTGGGTGTGCGTGGGTGTGCTGCAGAGTGCTAGGGAGAGGAAATTTTGCATGCATTGGTTGTAATGAAAAACAGAATATTTTGTATTGGGTGTCAAGGCACTCCAATTAGCAATGCAAAGGATAGCTTGATACATGCAATGCTGCCACCTTTACTGCCAGGAAGGTAGAATTCTTCTTGAGTCCCATGGCCTCAGCTGAGATGTTAGCTCTCTTTTTTTAAAAAAAAATTATTTTAAAGACAATAATAAAAAACAATAAAAATGATATGAAACTTCAGGTAAGATGATACAAAATTAACAATGGTTATTATATCACATATTATTATCATCTTCAAAGTAGTTGCTCAGATTACCAGATATAGGCATATAAGTTTGATCAAACAATATAAACACTAACTGTTCCTTTCAATGAAATAATAGAAATTAGTAGTACAATTATCTTAGCTACCGTGTGTGTGTGTGTGTGTGTGTGTGTGTGTGTATTTCTTTTCTCTTTTTCCCCATCCTGGTTATTCTTTCCTTCAAATGTTATCTCATGTCTTAGACCTGGGATCTCACAAGCTCTTGCTGGAGTCCCGACTTCAGTCACCAGCAGGGGAGGCATTTCTGGTTCACATGCTATAATAAGACACATTAGCTTCTCTACCCAATTCAATCACATTCTTTTCTTTTTTTTTTTAGAATTGTACTGTTTTTTATTTTTCTTGTGTGCATTTATAATAATAGATTTTAAAATATTTATGTCATCTATAATGCTTTATATTCTCTTTTTTATTTTAAAAAATAAAAGAAGGAAAATATATTAACAGACAGACATCCATTTACAAAATAGCATAAGAACAATACAAACAAAACAGAGTTACAGACAAAGTTGTAGGAAATTAACCACGTTTGTTGGATTACTTATTGATATCTTCAAAGTGGTTTCTCAGGAAAACAAATAGAGACATACAAGATTGACCAAACAAGTAATCGTTAACTGTTCCTTTCTGTAGAGCAATGGAAGACAGTAGAACAACTATGTTAGCTATCCTGTCTATACATACTTATATAATTTCCCCTTCTTTCACTTTTTTTTCCCCACACTCCAGTTGCCCTTTACTTTAGAGCATTTTCCTTGCCTTTCACACTGTCTATCATACCTGCTAGTCTTTATTCACTCTTTCAGGTCTTACACTAGTGAGACAATACGATGCTTACACATCCAGGCCTGATTTATTTCACTTATGAGTATGGTCTCTAGTTGTGACCATTTACTTATAAAAGCCTCGAGTTTATCTTTCTTTATAGTGAGTAATATTCCATTATATAAAAGTACCACAATTGTTTTATCCATTCCTCAGTGGATGCACATTTGGGTTGCTTCCACAATTTAGCAATTACAAATTGCACTGCTATGAACATGGGTGCACATATATGACTGTGATATGACGTTTTCAGATCTTTTGGGAAAATACCCAGAAGGGGAATAGGTGGGTTGAATGGGGCCTCCAGACCTAGTTTTCAGAGGAATCTCCAAACTGATTTCCACAGTGGCTTCACCAGTCTGCATCCCCACCAGCAGTGGAGAAGGGTTCCTATTTCTCCACAACCTCGCCAGCATTTGTTATTGGTTGGTATCTTAATACTAGCCATCCTTACCGGGGTGAGATGAAATCCCATTGTTGTTTTAATTTTCATTTCTTGAATGACTAATGATGTTGAACATTTTCTCATGTATTTATTTGCCATTTGTATTTCTTTATCTGAGAAGTGTGTACTCATCTCAGCTGCCCATTTTTGGATGGGGTCTTTGAATTTGGGTCAATCACATTCTTTTAGCCAATTAAGGGAACATCTGTTTCAGTATGGCCAGCGCTGCACATCTCAGTAAATAGGGTTGAAGGAGAGGCCAGGGAACGAGGGCAGAAAGGGGATCATTTCTCAGGAGAGCACAGCTTGACAGTCTCCCACAATCAACTGACAGGAGGTCCCAAGGCTGGGCCTTGTTCTTCCCATGGGGACTTGAGCAACTATGTCTTTTGGACCTGCCAAAAGCCACTGCACACTGGCCTGGGTGTCATTTCAGTAGCTGTTTTCTTAGGCAAATTAATGCATGAGGCCAGCCTCTCTGTCCCAGGGACTCAAACCTGTGAGTGCACAGGGAGAGAGAAAGTAGGGGTGGGGATATAACTCTCTGAGCAATCCATCCTTTGTGAGGCCAGAGGAGCTGAAATATGAGAGACCAGGTACAGACCAGCAGAAATGTGTGGCTTAAGAAGGTGCTGTCTAGTGTACTACAGGTTAATTCAGCCAGAAGCTTTATATTTATCTTATGATCTCAATCTGAGAGGAATTTATATCAGAGATACCACCTCAGTCATGAGGACTGAATAGTCAAGGAAGTCATGGTGGGCAGATTTCCCTGAGAAGTCTGTAGAGAGCATGAAACCTGCCCTGAGGTAGTGGAGAGGCCGGACAAGGGACAGCCTGGAGTAGATCAAAGGCAGGGGGAGTAGTGAAGTCGGGGTATCTCTGTGGGCAAAAAGTCACTATGTTACAAGATGGTGTGCTTGGGTCTAGACACCGATTGGTGCTGGAGGCCTATTACTGAGGGATCTGGGCAGCATCAGACCTAGAATGGGACCCTTGGCCCTGTGTGTGCCCTCTGCTCAGGACTCACAATTGTGACTTCTCCTACATCATGTGCTCTTCCAGCTGTACCCCATCCATGCCTTTGACATCCCCAGGCAGATGGCCTGAGCCAGCACCCTGTGTTCCTATCATCTGCCCTTTTCTAAGTTCTGGAATTCATAGGG